ATGGAAGCATATTACATAAGATCTTAGTTAATTAATGGACATAAAATCTCATATTAATCAATAATTTATTAATTTGAATGAAAAAAATTAAATTTCATTTAAATTAAATAAGATCTTCAGTTTAAATTTTAAAAATAAAAAATTTAATGTTGAAAAATATTTTCTTTTCAAATTAATCAAGAATTAATATAATTATTAAATATTAAAAAATTAATATAAAAAAAAATCTCGTGTTGACGAAAAATAACCAAGCAACTATTTTGGTTGTGGATATTCGAAAGTTCTTCTGGGACTTCTCCTATTTGCCTGTTTGACATACCTTAAAGGAAGGTAATGTTGCGGTTGATTTCATGACTCCTCTCTTGGCCAGTAGGGACTCTATTTTTCTGAGCCCCCTCATGGTTGGTTTGGAAAATATCCTCTTGGAAACGGTATGGGCGGGTCATATTCTACCTCAGTGAGATTTTTAGGCAACAATTACTGGTGAATCTGAAATTATACTTTCAATACAAATAATACCATGACTACATCTTTTTAAGAGGTTTTTATTTATGTTCAAACATTTAAAACATATATTAAAAATATTTTTTTATATTAATAATTATTAAAAAAGTAAAAATTAATTTTTATTTAATTATTTATTTAATAAAAATAATTCACTTAATATTAATGATAAAATTAATATTAATTTTTATTATTTTTACTCCACCCGTATCCCAAAATGGTAAATACAGGAAAAAGCCAATGACATTTATTAGACTTGCATCATTAATTTCTTGTATTGCTTCACCCTGTACTGCACAAAAATAATATAGTGGTACTACCATTTCAAGCCTTTCCTATCATCTTAATCCCCCCCCTCCCAAATAAATACAATACATCGATCCATTATTTCCAATCCTTCGTTGCTTGCTTTTGGAACCCAATTCGCCGGAAAGTCAAGATGATGCATATGACCTTTTACTGGAGCCGGGAGGTAACCCTCCTCTTCAGCTCCTGGAAGACCGATTCCTGGCTCGGTTACGCCCTTACCCTCATCGCCTGCATCGCCGCCCCCGTCTTTTACCAGTTTGTGGAGCATATAAGGTACCGCCTCAGACAGGTGGGGAAGCCAACCCAGCTGGATGTACCGCTTTTGCAGGATCAGAAGGAGGCGTCCGCAGGAAATAGGTGGTCGGTGGCGAAGATCGCGGGAGGGGTGGCGTTTGGGCTCAGCTCGGGGTTGGGGTACTTGTTGATGTTGGCCGTCATGTCGTTCAACGGAGGTGTTTTCCTGGCCATCATCCTCGGACTCACTATTGGTTACCTCGCCTTCCGGACGGAGGACGACGAAGAAACTACCGGCGGCGTTGGTAGTACTTGCGCCTGTGCTTAAAGAAATTAATTTCTGAAATAATCAAGGCTTTCTTTGATTAAGTTGAATTGTAATCTATTAAGTAGGTATTAATTTGTAAATTATGTTTGATATTATTATTATTATTAGGTTCTCAATTATTAATATCACATATTTTTATTTTTATTTAACATTATATTTTTAAATTTATTAAAAATAAAAAAAAAAATTTTTAAAAATAATATAAAAATATAATAAATAATTAAATTTAAAAATATGACATTAATTATTTAAAGTAGATTAATAGCTAATCAGTAAATTATCTCAGGATAATTCATTATTTTCTCTTCTCTATGTTTTCTCTTTCTGGGAATTTAATTTTCAGGTAAATAAATGTCCCTTTCCATCGTCATTTTCCTTTCACAAAATATATATTAAAAAAAGTGCTAATTAGCTTTAC